CTTACCACGGTTGCGCGCAGGTGCAGAATGTTTCGGTTCAATGACTTGAGGTTCATCTGAATCAATCTTGTCCAAACCTAATTCCCTAGCTACCTTATCAAGCTCATCTTCTTCATCAAGCTTGGGATAGGAGACAACAACCTTCTTTCTTGATGAACCTGATTGAGAGTCATCGACAACCTGAGGTTTCTGCTTACCTACGTGTCTTTTGGCTGCAGGTGGACCTACCTCAATCTTTTTCGAGCCTGGTCCAACTGAAATCGGTTTGCCTTCCTCCTTCTTTAAGGAGCTTGGCTTCTTTTTCTGTACACCTGATGGCACTGAAGAGGCTGACTCAGGGTGAAAAAGATCATCAATGTTTCCACGAAAGGGCTTTGCACGATCAATGTCACTTCTGACAATGTCATCTGGGATCACGTAGTCCTCCTTGATCTTGTAGATGGTCTTGCCCTTCCAGAACTCTTCACTCTGTTCAGAAAACCTCTTCTTCTCAGTGCGCCAGTTGTCCTTGTGAAGAACCTTCTTCTTGCTCTTCTGGAATTCAATGTGGGTTTCTCTCTCATCAAGAAGTTGATCTTTTGGAATTGGAGTTTTCTCTGATCGAGTCATCTCATGTAAGTTCATTCTCTTGTCCTTGTGGTGCCTGATGAGTTCACGACGTAGTGGATCAACCTGCCAGTAGTCACCAGTCACCAAAGCTTCTCCTTCATGATCATCTTGTTTGACAGCAATCTGACTGTACTCAAAGTGATCGTGTTGTGAATAGAAACTTTTGACTTGTGGAGTCTTGAAATGAACTTGGCTCATGTACCATGCTACATCTTGTAGGTCGAGAATGAGATGAGTACTGATGGCTGTCCTCAAAACCATTTTTCTCATGCCAATACGTGCACAGGACAAATAAGCCTTCTCTGGAGTAAGTTCAAATTGAAATCCAAGGTTTCTCATCTGTGGAAGTGACATCAACAATGGGACATCACCTTCTTCGACAATGTCGAATTCTGTAAACTGAGTGTTCCATCCATGATCATACATGAATATCACGAGCTTCTCAGTACATTTTGATTGTTGTGAATTTGCAAAGAAGAATCTTGAACTTGTTGGCTGAATTTCATACCAGAGTCCACTGTTGGGATGTGAGTCAACATATCTGCAAAATGCTTCAACTGCTCGTCGAGAGCCCATAGCTCTTGTGCATCCAAGATCTAGAATACACACAGTTGGTGGTGCAGAATTCTCTGTGTGAAAAGCTAGTCCATTCTCACATGCCAGATCAGTTTGTACAGTATGAAATGAAAAAGCACTCTGCTGTGATGGTTCCTCTATCTCTGTAGAGCATCCATATGAAAACAATGATGTGCCTTCTGCCAATGGCTTCCATGAAGCCTCACCTTCTTGAAGACCAACTTGCCTGGGCACTACAGCTGGACGTTGTTGTACACCTTGTCGTAGTGCACCAACTTCTCCAACCAGAACAGGGAATCTCTTCATTTCTCTCCTGTTTTGCTGTGCTCTTGCATCACGTTGGTTCTGTCCTCCACGACGAGTGCGTCGTTGTTCATCTTGTGCTGCATACGTGGATGTCAAAACATCAACACGTGCTGGCTCTGTCTCTGCAACATCAACACGTAATGGGTCAGGTGTTCCAAATGAAAAGAAACCATGACCAGAGCTTGAAGCTGCAGAAGAATAATGAGCTTGTTGAGTTTGTTGATTCTGTATGGCAGGAGCTGATGTGGTCTGAGGTTGAACATAGTTCGACTTGCCTTTTCCATCTCCTGGCTTTCCTCCTTTTCCATCATCATCCTTGCCTTTCTTGCCTTTCTTTCCTTTTCCTTTTCCTTTTCCTTTCCTCTGGAAGTATCCATACTCATCCATGTAGTATGAATCATCATAGGCCCAATAGCCTTCATTCCAGGTTTGATCATCGGCCCAATAGCCGTCATAGTTTTCATTCCATTCATCTTCTTGCCATTCATCTTCATAACCTTCTTCACTCACCATGTGAGAGCGGCCTTTCCTTCTTCCTTTTCCTCGGCCTTTTCCTTTTCTTGATCGGAAGAATCTTCGTCCTCCTCTGCCTTTTCCTTTTCCTTTTCTCTTTCCTTTACCTTTGCCTCGTCTGATGTATTTTCCTTGGAACCTTCTCTGATACCATGTGAAGTTGGCGTCATCATAAACCCAGAAAACATCTTCTAAAGCATCCAGGAATCCTTCTGCGCCGTCTTCTTCATCTTCGGCCCAATAGCCGTCGGTTCCTTCTAATTCACCTTCATCCAGTACGAGGAAAGATCTTCTCTGTGCCATGCCAGAGGGTTGCATCAATGGATTGTCAACTGCTGTTTTGGTAGTGCAAAACATTTCCAAAAACAGGTCACGTAGTTCTTGAATGTTGTATCGATCGAGGGTTCGTCCACGATGTGTCATGATACTTGTGAGTGTATTTCTCTGATCTTGACTCAGGTCAGCTAGACTTACAAAAATCAATGCTAGCAAATTTTCACCCAGTGGGAATGCTTGTCGCTGTGCTTCTCTACGATTTTCCTGAAATTGTCTGAATGCCGCTAGTGCCAGTTCATCTGTCCAAGGAACAGCTACATGGGGTGTTCCTGAGGCTGCTGCTACTTCAGCTCTCTCTTGTTGATCTCGTTCATGTTCTTGACGTCGTTGTTGAACAAACAGAATTGCTTCAGGACTAGTCACTGTTACTTCTGGAAGTAAATCCATCCAAGACTCAATAAGTCTATTGCCAGTGAGTTGAAATCTAGTCATCCACTTCTGAAGATCCATGGTTCCTCTGTTGAACTTCATGAACTGCATGAAACGGTATAAGAACACGTTCTGGGCACCTTTGATGAAATGAGGTCGTAGAAATCTTTTGAAATAAGCCACTCCTTCATAGGGATCCCTGAGTAATTCTCTATCCAATAGCCTCTTGTATTGTTGAGCATCTCCTTCCAGCCTGTTGCGCAATGCTGGACCACGTTTCTCTGGTTCTAACTCCGTAATGTCACACCAGTCATCAATTGCATCCTCAAAAGCAAAGAAGCTGGTTCGCCCATCATAGGCTGGAGCAACCTTTGTGGTCATCTGTTGCGTCATATGAATCTGTGTATGCTGGGGTGCTCTTCTCATTGCATAAGAGTCATATTGGTTCCATTCATTTGCATCGACAATGTCGAAGTCATCATCATCATAGCCATGGCTTGCCATTTCTTGGGCTCTACCTGGAGCTCACCCTCAATGAGGGATCACAGCTCCGCTACCACTTGAAGAGGGGCCCTAGCGTCTACTTCAAGATCAGCTAAGGCGTCTTCCCCAATGACAGCACTTGTTTTACTCAGCCTGTTGCCGGTCCGTGCTTGTCTACAGGGTTACTCTATATACCTCTTGAGCCTTGAAGGGCGCATATAAATGTGCTCAATACTCATGCATGTACCTATGTAGGTATTAGGTCGAAACAAAAACAGGGGGGGGGGTCCCCCCCTTTCGCGTGAAAAATCACGTGATGTCCTTGAGCAGCCCCCGGAATACTTGCTAAAGCAAGAAGACTCCAGCTAGCTGACGCTAGCTTTCGTGACTTCAAAAATCCCAAACAAACACCTGTGAAATATTGGATCCATGCATTTGATGATATTTGATGAATTTTGATGATATATGGTATTCCATTTTGGATCATTTCGTCCTTTGATCTGTATTATGTATCAAAAAGAGGTCAGGGTCGACCTTGGGCCATGCAACGCGAAGTTTCTCTATCCTGGCGCGCTCTCGGGTGCAGTGATGGCAGAAGTCGCAAGCATCTCCTAGCCGGCAGCCTCCCTCTCTGAAATGAAAGAAACGGCATGGTCTACCTCAGCATGCTGCGGCCCACACGACTGAGATTGTAAAAGATTGATCTCACTTTATAACCATGGGAATTAACTTCCGTCAATCATAAGTTAGGATATGGCCCCCTGCAATCCCTTCTTCCTGTTGCTGTATAACCTGCCCTTGAATAACAAAAACTACCCCAGATTGTTCGTTTTGGGAAATTTCGGATGGGCCAATCAAGTTGATGTTGAATTGATCCCCTTTAGAAAACAGTTTAAAAATAAAGGTCCCATTTGAGGGCTTCACCCCCTAATAATGAAAACTAGCCAACACCGGGGTGTTTATTAGGGTTCGTCCTTCGAAATCTTACTGTAATTTTTACCTTTTTTACCAAGGTCTTTAGTTTAATATTGGGGGAACCTTCGACATCCAACTGTTGGCAAGATTTTTTCATTGGATTTTGAAAAGGAATTTAATCGATTTTGAAATCGATTTTTTTTAGTTGTTTTATTCAGGTTTTTAATATTAGGGGAAACTTCGCACCCCAATGCTAAATACACCCTAATAGAAAACAATACCCTAGGCTTTATGATTTGGGGGGGACGCTTATTAGTATTAAGGGGACGGGATTAACTATTGTGACAAGCAGCCACTTGCGACTGGAACTGCGCCCCCAACGATAGTAACTATAGGTTGCGTATGAGATGTGTTTAGGTATGCTTGGCTTCTCATTCAGCATGTGAGACTTCGTACTGTACTTTGTTGGCTGCCAGGGTTCCGGTGGTTAAAGACAGCGTGCTCCAAAATTGGGGGCACTATACGGCACGAAACATGTAAACTGGTTGGTTGATAGGGTTTCCCACAGTGGCTTGTAATAATCGTCAATATTGAATAGCACGACATGAACCTGTATAATTAACATTAACCAAGCATCAACCAACAGTGGTCACTGCTCAAATGATGCAAGTCAAGCAAAGTTCCTGCCCATGTAAATGCTTGCGTGGGTCTCTGAGTCTCACCCAATTTAATCCAAGTGCAACTGAAATTACGCTTATTCCATTGTGCTCTGGCAGCACCCCGTCTATCCTGATCCAATTGATCTATATATTATATAATTCACTCCAAACGCATAACGACACCTCCTGGAGTTTTCTCTCCAAGTTCAGCCGCTTCCAATGCCGCTACGTTGCAAGTTCCATTGTTGTGCGCAGCCAACGATCCGTAGATGGGTTCCTGCGAGTTTTCTAGGTGTTCCACCTGAGACACCTTTCCCGAGTCTTCTGATGCAGAGCTGTGACTACAGCCTGTTAAAGGGCGATCATGCTAGAACTGTATGAATCCCCTGTGAACGTAGCGGTGGGTCACAATACCTGGTCCCCAGTGAAAATCAAAATAACTGGGATTTATCAATGTTTATCTTCCAAAATATGGTCAGTAATTGGTTTTGACATAGATATATTCCCCATATATTCAACATATATATATATATTTTTTTTGGAAATTACCTGAAATAGAGGTACCCGGAAATCATCCATTGTAAAAGGATTTTCCACAACCATCCATTTTTTTGGGTAGTTCGAATTTGTGGCAACCCCAACATCAACCATCCCCAGGATTCCCCAGGCCTGTAGGGTTGAGCCAAGGCCCTCGGCCACGACTCCCCGGTCTGGGTAGGGTGCGTGGCCCCCGGCCACGGCTCCACCAACAAGGGATCCACGGTGTTCGCCTCCTGATCTGGACGAACTGATCCACGGTGTTCGCCTCCTGATCTGGACGAACTAGACACTCCATCCAGGCCTGGGACACCATCGAAAACCGCGAACTCGGAACTTGTGCTGGAAACTCCGTTCTGGTCTCCTGAAAAGGACATCTTCGAACAGCATGACATGGGAACAAAACGGAGCTGAGGGGGCCCCTGCAAATCAAATAGTTTGTAGTTGAAGGATTGTTGGAAGCAAAAGTCTCCATGAAAATGGTTGATTGTGAATCATGATGATCTTTCCAGCTGGCAACCAAAAAATGCACTTGACCGACCAGTCTCCGTTGCCACTGCCACTGCCGTTTCCACTTCCGTTGCCACTGCCACTGCCGTTTCCACTGCCACTGCCGTTTCCACTTCCGTTGCCATTGCCGTTTCCACTTCCGTTGCCACCACTGTAGCCACCACATTCTCCTGCTTTGGCCAGTGTGAAAACACCCCTTTCCACGTAACCCTCATGGGGAATAGACACCCTAAGCCATTCTATGCCCCACAGACCCCCACAACCTGCAAACACAATGTGTGCATCCCAGCCCCCCATCTCCTGCACTCGGATCAGCGGCTATACTTTCATCTGTTGTTCCGGGTGCATGCGAGCCACTGGACCGCGTATTTCTCCCTGATTGTGTCTGCTGTCTGCTCGAAAGCCTTAACTTAGTTTGTTGATCCAGTGTGGAAAAATGTGCAACTATTAGTGGTTTATGTGGTAAAGTCCATCTAACATATCTGACCATATCTAACACCCGAAGGCGCTCATAATCCAAGGGTTTATGGCAACCACAATGACCGGGGCAAGGATCACTTAGGACGACTTTTTGGATCACTTAGGCCGACAATCTTGGATGTGGATTCAATCCTTTAGGGTTTATATTTAGGGAGGGAGTGGGGACAGTGGGGCAACTGGAGGTACAGGAGACGACCTAACTCATATTGGAGTCCATTGGCTACACACTTTTAGGGTTTATATTTGGCGGGGGAACTCGGAACGGGGGTGAGGTAGCAAACCCCCGTTTTAGGGGCCCTGGATACAGTCCTAAGATCTATACTTTCAGGTTAAACAGCCTCAAACAAACACCAATCGCACAAGCTTGTTTTCCTTGAGCCGTAAGTAAGTATAGAATATGTACATGACAACTGGCGTTACTTTACAGGGGAGTCTGGGATATACCTTAGCAATACCCTGTAAAAACACCCCCCGTTTACCGTGGATGCTTGGCACCCATCGGTACAACATGGTCGCGTGTTGTCAGCCGCCGCATATAGACCTGAGTAAGGCACACGCGCAAATTAAAACAATTACTACGACTACGACGGATGCTCTCTGGTGTTGGTCCATCGCATGTCAAGGCAGCTGAGTAAAGCACGAAGTCGAGTGCGAAATGCAAAGACCCGTATGCTCTTTTTATGCCCGCCCACGGATGCAATTGCACATATCATGGCCATGGCTCCCGCCAGGCATCTTCAAATGAAGTGAAGGAGCATTACCACTCCAATGTTCACTCCCGAAAACGCAATGGCAAGGAAAAACTGTACAGCCATGAAAACGAGTGCAAATCGATGAACGATTGCCTTGAACATCCAATGGTATTGCCCGAGATTTTTTTTGAAGTAAAAATTGAATTCATTCAAACTGTTCAGAAGTCAATGCAGTGCAAAAGAATCGAATAGATATTGTTGTTGCTTTGCGTCAAATCTTTGGCATGTTCACATTGGGTGCAACGCCTGACAACTTGATGAAGTCAGGCATGCCTCACAGCAAGCAGCGTGCAACCCCTCTTCCACATCGGATGGTGCATCTGCTTCGGGATCACCTGATATGTCGGGAACGAGATCATCGTCGTGGGCTTGGACGCACTACCACCACCGACGATGGCAGGCTCATCATCATCATAATTATAATCCTCATCATCACCAGGAGAGAAGGCTCATCATCCTCATCATGAGTCTGATTGGGCCTAGATGAACTAGCCATTACCTTCACTATTGGCATGGGGTTCTCAACATGGTTGGAACTGGCTACTGCTGACACATTCGGATGTTGGGACTTGGAACACAGATATGGAACGTAGTCTCTGACTTCAAGTTCAATGACTTTACCGTTCGGTGAAACTAAATGTGGCTTCTCGTTCTTGGAACCCCTGCAGATAAAGTCAAATTCGTCCGCAACGCACCTAAGTCCAACTGACAAACAGGAGGAGAACTTTGCACTAGGTACGGTGAGACAGTGGCATTCAATTCAGAAACCTTGACCTTTCCTTGTTTCAACGACTGACTTTCCCCATTGGCTGTGATGAGACGGATCGGATTACTTGAGTAGGAACATGATGATCAGTGAGAAGGTCCTGAGCAGTACCAGTGTCTACGATCCAATCTATAGAAGCGTCGGCGTCGCGGCACGGGGCGACTTTGACTGTTTTCCCTCATGGCTGAACCAACATTCACCACCTCTATTGCACCTTCCCTGTTCCAGAACTTGCATGGTTGTTTCTTTTTGTTCTTGTCATTCCTACCTCTAGATGGTGATTTGCCTCTGTCTGAGGGTGGCCTTGACTGACTTCGATCCTTCTTGGGAGGAGGCTTCTCATGTTTGTATGTGCAGGAATCATTTGTACACGTGCCTTTCTTCCACTTGGCACAGTACCCCTTTGGAATGTACCCCGTCTTCTCGCCGACTGCAGGTGCAGCCGGTGCAGCGCTTGATGAGGAGGCACCGAGGTCCTGGCAGCTCGTTCCCGATTGGGCTGGAGGCGTTCCCTGTCCAAGTACCGGTGTACTGCAGCCACGAGGAATTCGTAAATCTTCTTGTCGGACCCTTCCTCAGCACGGTGATACTCCTGCAGATCGTGTGCGATGGCTTTGCTGTTTTTGCCTTGGTTAAAGAACAGAGTTTCCAGAACACTGACTTCGGGCACCTTGGGAATACCAGCCATAACTTGATTCCAGTTGCTGATGAACCCACGCAGGTTGTCACCCTTGAGCTTCACGCTAAACCGGTCTTGAAGGGCATATGTCGCACCATGCTTAATGTTGGTACTGAAGTGCTCATGCATCATCAACAACACCTGGCGACCCCTTACATACCTTTTGTTTGTAGCTTCAGTTTCTTTATAGGTGTCTACGTTCCGAGCGAAGTCGCCCGTCAGGATGTTGGCGAGTGCTGACAACAGTTTGGCGTCCAACGTGGTAAACTTATCTACGTCTCTGAGTGCTTCCAATGTTTGGCCCTCTTTCCGAGTCTCACTGATCCAATCAAATGCCTTATCAGGGTCAGTTGATGCGGACATGACTGCTTCCCTAGTTCGGATTCTCCAGTTTCGATAAGATTCAGCATGAGGGAAAGCAGGTACTTTAATCGTTTCTGCTTCTTTGACCTTGTTCTTGTCAGTTGATGGATCTGTGGGAGTGTCAAAAATGCTCTCATCCTACGGGCGAACATACGGTCACTGTCATCAGTTTCATCACCGTCGTCATCTCCATCATCATCTCCATCCCCTGGCCCACCTCCCGGTGGTCGTCGGCTCCCATGAGGGGGCCTGCTACCACCTTTGGCTTGTCACTGCCCTTCGGTGCATTGTCATCGTTTGGATCGTCGCCTGGTGGATCACCCCCTGCCCTTCCTCCTTTTTCAGATGCTGCAATGCTGGTTGGAGGGAGACTTGGGGACCGTTGTCCTGTGATTTCGGTGTCTGGGTCGTATACATCAAATGGTGGTAACACATTGTCCTGGCCTATCATTTCCCATAAGTCTTGATTAGCGTCTTTGGGCTTAGAGGCACTGGCTGATGCAAACAAACTCAACGGTGCGGACAACTTGACCTCAGTAGTTGGTGGCAACGTGGCAGTGGCAGTATGGACTACCGGGACAGGCAATGGACCTAAGGTATTCAGGAGTTTTCCCATGCGCATGTTCATGGATTCGGTCTGCAACTGTTGAGCCTTAATCTGCTCCCTTTTTTCTGTTGGATGATGGATTCTAGTTGTGACAACTGTGACAACTGCATCCTACGGCTTTCGTTTTGTCGCGCTCATAGTGGTCCTTCAGTGCTTGGATTTGCTGGTCCTTGGTTGCATTGGATTGTCTGGCATTTCCGTCCAAAACCCTTTTGTACACTTCTCCTTGTTGTGCAAGTTCCTCTCGATATTGAACCTCACAACTCTCTGCCAGTTTCATCAACTGATGCATCCGGACACTGGAAGCTTCTTCCTCGGTATGAAACCTGCGGCTCATCTCAGATACCATCGTCTGAACCACGTGTTCCGTGTTGGCCAGTGCCTCACGGTGACGTGCCTCAGCAACCTGTTCCACCATACGCGTAGTAGCAGGATCATGAGTATTCACATGCATCTCATTGAGTTGTACTTGCTGAAGGTTCATCGTGTTGTGCTTCTCACTTGTTTCATGATGATGTACCTCAGTCTGGTTCATGTGCATGTGACCTGAGCTCGCTGGCATACCCTCCCGGGATGCATGAAAGTCATACCCGCGGTGTGAAAACCGAGTTGTGTCGCTGTGGGGCAAGGTAGCGCCACGTCGCGTCAGGGTGTTGACTTCACGCTTGTCAGTTCGGAGGGAGTCTGTGCGTCTGACCCGATGGGAACCTCGTTTGCAGTTTTGTCCGTGTCTGCGCCCTTAATGGCCATGGCTTGAACAACTCCGGGTGGGCGAGTGCCTTCTGGCGATGGTTTACCAGAAGGGGCAGACATTACTTACAATCTTACAAAAGGAGAGTACGTGGCGATACGGCTGATAACCTATACTTTCAAGTTAAACAGCCTCAAACAACTACCAATCGCACAAGCTTGTTTTCCTTGAGCCATAAGTAAGTACAGTATAGAATATGTACATGACAACTGGCGTTACTTTACTGGGAAGTATGGGATATACCTTAGCAATACCCTGCAAAAACAAGATCTAACATTTACGAGTCACACCGAAGAGCATCAGCACGTCTTTTTTGATGCAGCTATGCTACCATGTCTTGAGCCACGGAGTGGCGCAGTGGATGACATGAATTAAGTGAAGTGATCTACAGGCACATACATGTACACTACTAGGCATTGCATAGACATGGAAACAGCTACAAACGGATCACATGGGTATTAGGATCCTTTCCTTTTAACAATCTTGGGACAGGGCAACCGGGGCCTACTTGACATACAGAATGTCCCGATGATCATCTTTCATCCACTTGTGCAAGTCTGTCGAAATCATGTTCGGATATATCGATATATCTTTCTATTGCAAATGTAAGTGGAGGGGTGGGTGTGGGTGGGTGTGGGTGGGTGTGGGTGGGTGTGGTGGTGTAGGTGGGGTGGGGTGTGGGGGGGATGGGTGGGGTGGGTGGGTGGGGGGTGGGTGGTGGTGGTGGGTGGGGGGTGGTGGTGGGGGGGGGTGGGTGGGTGGGGGTTGGGTGGGTGGGGGTGGGTGGGGGGTTGGTGGTGGGTGGGTGATGGGGTTGGTTGGGTGGGTGGGTGGGGGTTGTGGGGGTGGGTGGGTGGGTGGGTGGATGGTGGTGGTGGTGGTTAAGATGAGGGTGATAATGTGGGGCACGATGATGTAGAGGATGATGAAGTTAAAGATGATGAAGTTAAGGATGATGATGTTGAGGAAGATGATGTTGAGGATGATGAGGTGCAGGAGGATGATGTGGAGGATGACGATGTAGAGAATGAGAATAAGGATAAGGATTAGGATGATGCTGAAAAATGCCGGGGCCCAGAACTGCGACCCACAACATTGACATTGTGCGTCGAAACGCGTGTCAAGACTTCACAAGAGCCACTTTATGGAATTTCACAGGAAAAATGCCACAGCCCAGAACCACGACCCACACTTTGTGCAAGCCTGCGCAGTCGAAATGCATGTCCACATGTCACAAGGGACATCAGAAGAGCCACTTGATATGGAAATTTACGGGAAAAATGCTGCGGCTCAGATTGGGCCCAGAACGCGAACGAACTCTTTGCGCGAGCCGGCGCAGTCGAAACGCGTGTCAAGTTTTCACAAGAGCCACTTTATTTTATGCGGAAATTTACAGGTAAAATGCCGCAGGCCAGAGTGAGCACCAGCCTTTACACTTACCGTAAGAACCCCTCAGTGTGGACACACTTTTTGGGGAAAAAACATGGAAGAAAAAAAACTACGGCGATAATCCATCCAGAAGCCGCGATGGGTCGGCGGAATGTGCGGTTGTTTTTGCCGTCGTCCCACTGGAAGAACTATCTCCAATAGCCAGCTTGGTGCCACTCTGCCGAGTAGAGGAGCTGCGCGCCTCTTGTCTCAGTTCAAGAGTTTCACCACCTCGCAGGGCTATGGATTACCAGGATTTACCATGTAAATATGTCTAAAATATGGTAAAACTCTGGTGAAACATGGTAAAACCATGGCAAAAGCCTAAAATATCTCATGAGTTTGAAACTCATCTTCATTGCCCATGTGTTTGAAACGAATGCCCCACCTGTACGACTTCCACTGCCTGAACTGCTGCCGGAGGTGTTCTCACTTTTACTGTCACTCTTGCTGCCGCCTGGCGCTTGCCCATCTGCCAGGACAGGCACGGCAACCAGTTCGCCAGACGACTCCACAAAAAGTACGTGTGTTGAGTCAGCCATAAGGATAGCTGCTCGGAACTTTGAGCCAATATTTTGCCCAAAATATCCAGAAGAATCTCTGAAGTTGCATGTTGAGATGGCATGTTCATCTTCATGTTGTATAATTATATATCATCTGCTCTAGGGTCCTTCTGTGGGCATGTGACAGTTGTGCTGCAATCCCTGTCAGTCGCGTGAAAACTATCGCGAACGTCTGCAGAAAACATCCTTCAAGATGGCAAGTCCCAATGTGACGGCAAAAAAAAACTTTAAAAAACAACAAACAAGAGGTCAGCGATTTACTGCATTGGGCTTTAGGGGTTACTATACAAGAAAACCATGCAAAACATGACCTCAGAAGAACCCCAGCTGCACCTTCCTCGAGCCTGGAGGTGTTTTGATCTCGGCCTGGGGTCGCTGCGGCACTGCTGGTGATCCAATCAAACTCCATATCAAATTATAGGTATGTTGGATGGGATGGGTGGGGCACCTATTAATTATCAAAGGAAGTTGCGAAGCAATACTTCCGAGTTACGAATGACTTTTGATGAAGGGTGGTACATCACATCACAATACATACAATAACAATACATAACACAAGAATAAGAAGCTATGAGACAGGGTGGTGACGAAGGGAAGTGGTGACGAAGGGAAGTGGTGACGAAGGGGAGTGGTGAGGAAGGGAGGTGGTGACGAAGGGAAGTGGTGAGGAAGGGAAGTGGTGAGGAAGGGAAGCGGTGACGAAGGGAAGTGGTGAGGAAGGGAAGTGGTGACCAAGGGAAGTGGTGACGATGGGAGTGGGGACTTTGGGAAGTGGTGACTAAGGGAAGTGGTGACGATGGGAAGTGGTGACGAAGGGAAGTGGTGAGGAAGGGAAGTGGTGACGACGGGAAGTGGTGAGGAAGGGAAGTGGTGACCAAGGGAAGTGGTGACAATGGGAAGTGGTGACGAAGGGAAGTGGTGACTAAGGGAAGTGGTGACGAAGGGAAGTGGTGACGATGGGAAGTGGTGACGATAGGAAGTGGTGACGATGGGAAGTGGTGATGAAGGGAAGTGGTGACGGTGGGAAGTGGTGATGAAGAGAATGCTGCAAAATGCATGGGTGTTGCATGGGCTTTGTTGTGGGGAGGAAGCCGGAGCACGAAACCTTGCGTTTTTCCGTGTAAAGTGGCTGCAGCCGACGATGAAAGGTACCTCCTGTGTGTGGCGGTTGCGGCTGCGGTCGTTTTGGTTCCTCCTCTGTGTTTTGCAACAAGTGGTTGTTCCTGTGTGCGTAGTTTTTTGCGTTTCTTGAATCTCTGGTTGCAGATCGCAGTGGCATGGCTGCATGAATGTTGCATGGGCTATGTTGTGGGGAGGAAGCCGGAGCACGAAACCTTGCGTTTTTTCCGTGTAAAGTGGCTGCAGCCGACGATGAAAGGTACCTCCTGTGTGCGGCGGTTGCGGCTGCGGTCGCTTTTGGTTCCTCCTCTGTGTTTTGCAACAAGTGGTTGTTCCTGTGCGCGTAGTTTTTTGCGTTTCTTGAATCTCTGGTTGCAGATCGTAGTGGAATGGCTGCATGATTGTTGCATGGGCTATGTTGTGGGGAGGAAGCCGGAGCACGAAACCTTGCGTTTTTCCGTGTAAAGTGGCTGCAGCCGACGATGAAAGGTACCTCCTGTGTGCGGCGGTTGCGGCTGCGGTCGTTTTGGATCCTCCTCTGTGTTTTGCAACAAGTGGTTGTTCCTGTGTGCGTAATTTTTTGCGTTTCTTGAATCTCTGGTTACAGATCGCAGTGGCATGGCTGCATGAATGTTGCATGGGCTATGTTGTGGGGAGGAAGCCGGAGCACGAAACCTTGCGTTTTTTCCGTGTAAAGTGGCTGCAGCCGGCGATGAAAGGTACCTCCTGTGTGCGGCGGTTGCGGCTGCGGTCGTATTTTGGTTCCTCCTCTGTGTTTTGCAACAAGTGGTTGGTCCTGTGTGCGTAGTTTTTTGCGTTTCTTGAATCTCTGGTTGCAGATCGCAGTGGAATGGCTGCATGACTGTTGCATGGGCTATGTTGTGGGGAGGAAGCCAGAGCACGAAACATTGTGTTTTTTTGTGTAAAGTGGCTGCAGCCGACGATGAAAGGTACTTGAAATCCTGGTTTTATTATAACTAGTTATGGAAGTTATGTTAGTTAGTAACTATGTATAACTTTTTTTCGGCTTGCCTTTAGTGTCATTCCGCTGCATGATGAAAATTGGTATTTTTAGTAGAAAAGCTGCTTTTGAAATTAATATATGTAGACTTGCACCATGGACATACACGTTTTTTTCCATGTTCAGAAGCTTTATTTTCAAAAAAACATGGGTAGCTGAGAAGCTTTTGCTGTAAACTCATGGAACATGCATGTGAGTAGCAGCTATCTTTTTCCAAGCTTGGCGATAAATTTGGCAAGGTAGCACCACAGTGGCTGCTGTCTTGTAAGATAATTCTTGGTGCATGGAACTGATTAAAACATTTTGTCCATGGGAATGAAGCCAGTGGAGCTTCCAATGTGGCATTTGGCATGGTGCTTCTCCAAGGCATCAATGGTCCACAGTGCACAGGTCAACCAATGTGGTTGCCATGTCAAAAATGGCACCCCTTAATGGTGTGCACCCTGTTGGGTATTTACTTGGCTTCCAGTCACTGGCTGCCATGCAAGGGTGCTGGCAGCCTGCACCCTGCTTGGCAGCCAGTGACTGGAAGCATCAAGTTGCAGGTGCCTGACCCACATGTGCAGTGCCATGGTGGCAGCTATGAGTCATTTGGCGATGGAGAGCTGAATGGCAGCCCTCCTTGTTTGGGGTGGCCCAGCCAGGTCACAGGTTGGGCCACCCCCCCTCCCACCCTACCTCCCTCTATGGGGCAAACCCTGCTTTCAACCCAGTGGCACTGGGTGGAAAAAAGGGGTCGTTCCAATGGGCATGGATTCTGTGGCATAAAGTCTTCCCCATGGCTGGTGGCTCAAAGGAGTGCAGTGGCATCCTCTCTTTGGCTTGGGTTTGGTCACATGGCTGTGGATGAAAGCTTGTGGGTGGTGCCCATATGTTCTACTGGGAAACTATCACTACATGCATCCATGGAAAACATCTGCCCCAAGGTTTGTTTACCATGATATGGTGCATTTGTGATTTATGCCAAAAAGTGTTTGTGGGCCTTTGATGCTATCAGCATACCATAGACAAAATAAGTCTTTGATGCAAGTTTCCCATAGCTGCAGTGATGATGGGATGGGTCTCTGTCTGTATGTTTAAGGCCTGGAATGGCTGTGGATGATAAAAGGAGAAAATCAACAATGGATATGGTTTGCATCTGAAATTTGGAATTTGTTATTGCAACAAATATAATAGCTGGAAGGTTTTGAATTTGGGAATGTGGTCTTCTTGAATTTGAATATGGAAAGAAACATGGTCTTTGTGAAAGACTTAACATTGGAATAGTTGCATTGTGGCACTAGTGTGGTGGCATTTCCAGAGATTGTTTGGCATGATATGGGAAGCCATGGATGGCTTTTGCAACCTAAAAGGTTGTAATATGTTAAGGTAGTTTCCAAAAATGAATAGGTGGAAGAAAAACCAGTATGCAGATATGGGAAGCCAAGGTGGCTTTTGCGATCTGGAAGATGGAAACCCATATACATTGGCTGCAAAATAAAAATTCTGGAAAAACAAGGGGTACAAACAGCATGTACATATGGGAAGCCAAGGTGGCTGTCATGGCCGCCCCACCCCATCCCAGCAGCAATGCATATTTTGCACACACACACAAATTGGGAAGGTATACATTGGTGGATGCACAAGTCCTAGCTGTCACTTCATGGCCTGCATGGCCTTCTGGGCTTTCATGGCTTTCTGGACTTTCATCTTGGGCATCGCTTTGGGCAATGCTCTTTTGGTCCCCTTCATGGCCTTCATCTCTGGCATCTTGGTCTTCATGGGCTTGGGCTGGTGGATCTCCAAGCCATTCTTCATGAAGCTGGTCCTCCATGGTGTCATGCACACCTGGCAGTGTGGGAGCACCCAAAGGCGCCAAACCCAAATCCAACTGGTGCATCCCTTGGTGCTGCAGCAAAGACGCAGCAGTGGCCCAAGTGGCTTGGTTCCATCACCCTCTGGCATGGCAGACTTGCTGGTGTCTTTCTTGGACTCCATCTTGGTGGCCTTCATGGAATTCATGGCGACCTTCATGCTGGTCTTCATGGCTTTCATGGCGGAAAGCTTAGGAGCCATGGCTGCACTGGGCTGGAGATGGATGCACCTACAGGTGGTGGCACAGGCGAGCTTGGGGCTTTGGAATGGCTTCCACAAAAAAAGTCAAAACACATGATCATATGTAAACATAAAATTGGTTTTGGCTGTCACCATGGAAACCCATATGGTTTACCCATATGGTTTATCATCATGGAAATGCATATGCTATATAAATGGGTCATGCAATGGGGAGATATAGAAGTTTCATGGAATGCCACATAGCTATTGAAAGTGAAGCTGGGAACATGGAAGGCCATATGTGTTTTCTTCTGTATAGCAATCAAAGATTGGGAAGAATATGGCATTGGTGGTTCAAGAAAAACCATGGAAGGCACATGGGAGGCCAAAAGGCTTTTGCTAAGCTGGAAGCAACATGCTCAACATGGGAAGCCATGTTGCTTTTGTTAAAAGCAAGAGGTATACACCAGCTGTAAACACACAGCTGGATCACGAATGGCAAAAACATGGGCACATGGGAAGCCAAAAGGCTTTTGGCAGCAAGCTTTCTGTTTGGCCTGCTGGATGCTTGCATCTGGGAATGGTGAAACTATCTCCTGGTCCACCAGTCTGGCTGGCGCAAGTCCCTCACATGGGTCTCCACAATGGCCGCTGCTGTGTGAACGAAGTTGTCGAACTGAGGCTCAGCCCTCCAAGTGCCCATCATGGAACCTATCTGGTTCTAATTCTCTTGGTTGTAGTGGTGGACAAGGCTGTATGCGTTGGACTGCCAAGTCCTTTGGACTGCCAAGTCCTTTGGACTGGCCTGATCCCTTTGGAGGAAGGATTGTTGGGACCTCTCTAGATCCTGGGTGAACTAGACAATGGCATTGGTGGTCACCTGTGGTGGTCAATGGATTTGGTTGCGTATACATAACTGATCTTATTGGTGCTTGAACCAAAAAATAATCATATCATAAACATTTCTTGTTGGTTGGAATATAATATGCAATGATAAAAACATTGGGTGCCCAAAGACCAAAGTAATTGAAACACAATGATATCAAACATAGATGGAATATTACATATATTGTTGTCTTTACATTCATGTGATGCCATGTATGGCTTTTGATATATCATGGTATGGGAGGCCACAAGGCCTTTTGCAAAGTACATGGTAGGGGTAGCCATATAGGCTTTAATTGTATTGTAACATGGGATGCCATGTAGGCTTTCAAAACATATTTGCATATTTC